TTGAAGTTGAAGTTCATTTATTTGTTTAAGCAGGTTGATTAATTGGCAGCTGTAATAGCTGATGTGGACCTGCTGTCCTAACCCACCCATCCCACCCCAGGGGAGGACATCCATCACACAGTAATCTCGTGTGTGGGAAATTAACGTCTCCTGCCCCAACCCTGCAGGAGACGGGACCTCCATTTATTCGTCCCTATCCGAGAAGACTAGAATATCTAACCATTTCTTGATGTTATAGAAAGGTAGCAAATTCTTCTCAATTATTTTAAGACCTTGAGTGTTGGTCCGGCCGGGGCTCGAACCCTCGACCTCCCGCACTACAGTCCAGCGCTCTATCCATTGAACTAACCGGGAGGCGGTTATATAATATAATTTGCAGCTGAGTACAGATCACCTGGTTAACTAATTTAAAGATACCTGATTTGTAAAACATGTGTTAGTGATAATGATGCTTTTATCTAATAGCTTTAACTGCACTTACATACCACTAATACTTTAGTAGCATGCACACAGCTCCATCTATTCAAACAATTGACTATTGGGAGGCATTTTATAAATACAGTTTGCACTTGTTAGTGACTAGAACTTTCTCTGATGCATAAAGAGGGTAAGTTTCTAAAGAAAACCGTGGCACTGCATTCAGTGTTCTATAAACTGAGTTTATAATGTTAATTGTCCATCATAAAGAGTTTATATGCAGACACCTTAAGAGCACTATAAAGTGTTCACCTTAAAGAGGTGCCTAGGGTGGACTGTTGAAAAACAACGAAAACTATATAGAATGGTGCCAATTTGTTTGATCGATATATGATCTCACTGTGATTTATCATTCAAATGTGGGTACAGGGTTCTTGCACTTTTTGAGGAACCCAATTCAAGGACTTTCAAGGACTTTTTAGGTCCTTTTCAAGGACCTTGGTTCTCAATTCAAAGGCCTTTTGCATTAAATAGGAGTGGCCTTAAGTCCAGCGAACGTGACTTCAAGCATGCACATCAGAGGGATCACGTTCTGGTTAACCAAGGTTATTTTCAATACACCAATCAGATACAAAATATATAAAAACAGATTGATCTGTGAGCTAGGTTATTACAATTTAAACCTTTTTTGTAGTATTTTGACAAATACGCAAGGCTGAACAAATTTCCTACAAAATATATCTATTTCCATTCTCATAAAATCAGAGCTGTGGTCGAGCAGCACCCGGTGGCCCATAGTGCCTTACTTTTGCTCTTAGGCGACTCAGGAATCTTAGTTTTTTCAGGAAAAGGATCTGCTGCATGGGCACCCTGGATTTCACAGTTTCAGAGCACTGGGCTCTCTTCAATTTTTCTTAGAGCACAGCCTTGAAAATTTTCTGTTTTTGAAAACTAATTGACTGTCATTCAATTGACAGCCACCTCACTTGACTCTACATGTATTTATTATTATTATTTATTTAGTACATTTATTAATATATAATTATTTATATATCAATATAACTTATATAATAAACTTAATAAATATCAGTCATTGCTACATGTATTTACCAACAACAGTTGATCAGTTGCCATCAGACTGGGTAACCCTTTAATTCCCAAGATCTGATTGATAATTCTCCCCTCTTGCTGCAACACATTTTGTTGTAACTTAGTTAAAAAGAATTTTGTGTTAAATCAAGATAAAATCTTCTACCTGATAAGTTTGGGAATTCCCATTACCTGTTCGCTGGATGATGTATGAATATTACAAGGAGAACTTACATGGTAATAATTTTGAATGTTTCTCCAGGTTGTTATCATTTTACTTGACAACTTAATAGTTACTGTACTAGTATTGCAGTAAATGGTTTGAACCCGGGGGTAACATGTGAAGGTGTAGTCTGATCATCCGGGTGAGTGTAGTCCTGAGAAGGACCGTTGTCGGTGGTAGTGACTGACGTTTCGACAACCTGTGTGGAAGTCATCATCAGAGTCAAGTGAATGATTGTTGTCAGTAGAAGATTGTTGTCAGTTCTACTGACAACAATCATTCGCTTGACTCTGATGATGACTTCTGCACAGGTTGTCGAAACGTCAGTCACTACCACCGACAACAGTCCTTCTCAGGACTACACWCACCCGGACGATCAGACTACACCTTCACATGTACTAGTATTACTACAACTGTGTTGAGCTGATTATAATTTCTGCCACATTTCAATTTTCATTTTCATAATTATTTTTCCTGTCTCAGGTTGTAACCCTGTGGTATCGGGCTCCAGAAGTTCTCCTTCACTCCAGTTATGCCACAGCTGTGGACATTTGGAGTGTTGGATGCATTATGGCTGAACTTTATAACAGAAAACCCCTCTTTGAAGGAAAATCAGATGTAGATCACCTTAACAAAATATTTAGGTGAGCCATAAGTATAGAAAAATATCGTGCCACTGCATTAGTTTTCTGTGTGTAACCCATGCTTTGGTTGGTGTATTGGTTTACAGACAAGTTGGCTTATCCTCTCCTGTGAATTTTTTTTTGTGTGAAAAGGTATCATTGTCATGCATATGTTTGTTGAGAGAAGAATTTTTAAGTACTTCAGAATAGAAGGCTTTAAAAAACAAGTTTGATAAATATTATTTAAAATCAAATATCCCAACACCACCTGAAACATGTTAAAATTACATGTTTGTGAACAATACAATCTGCTCTGTCCAGGGATTTTACATTTTAAGAAATTTACCATAAATTTGTACTCTGCTTTTGTGGTCTCTATCCTTAGCTTTCTTTCTTCCACTTTTGTCTGTGGGTCTCAACTTGGATGTTCTTGTTTTGCTTCAGCCTAATATATTAATTTCAGTTACAATGTGCCGTAGTCTCCCCACAGTTCATGACAGATTGAGCCTATTTAAAATACTACGCGGCAACCCCTTTTAAGTGGTGTGTGTCTGCTCTAGCAAACTGCAGCTGCAAGGAAGCTGTTTCATTCAAACTCCACCCTCTCATTCACTTTCTTTCATGATCTTTGATGAATTTGCAGTGTGATAGGAACTCCATCACAGAATGACTGGCCATCAAGTGTTTCTCTTCCACAGTCATCATTCCCAAGATATGTTCCATTTTCACTTGCTGAGTTAATACCAGAGATGTGCGAGAGTGGAACCAACTTACTCAAGGTGAGGTACATGGGTATACCAATCACTACATTACTCTAACTAGGTAATTCATGTACTGAATAAGAAGAGCTATTGAAGATTTGCTGGCTTAGTGGTTACCATTCTGGACTCTGTATCTGTATTGTGGCCTGTGCGGATATTTGTGTGGTGTTCGTATGCAGGACACTTCACTATTGCAGTGCCTCTCCCCACCCACTCAGGGTAGAGCTCGACAAATTTCTGTGGTTTAGCTGCAATGGACCACAGAAGGATTCCATCCAGGTGGAGTAGATCTACTCTTTTTCTCCTCATGCTGAAGAAACTGAGAATAAGAAGGAACAGCAAAGGGCTACTTAAACTCTTTGACTTGCATCCTTGATATTAGCTGTAGAGATGAAGTTCCTATTGGTTGGAACACAAAGATCCACTATAGGCATTCCAGAGTTATGCAGTGTTATCGGATCACAATACACAGCAGCTATTCTGAACAAAGGGAAATATCACAAGAAGACCGGCTGCAGTGACAACTCGAAATAAATACAAACAAACCATTCAAAGTCCACAGTGCAAGTTAACATGTGACCACGTCATGGTTTCAGTTGAGCATCTGATTAGTCAAGAGGATGTGTAAGTTCTTGATCAATCAGAAAACAAAGTAACAAAAGGAGAACCAGTGCAATCACAGATTAATTTTTACATTCAGTTGAGAACTACTCTTGACATATATATATTTTTTTCAGAAAATACTGGTCTTTGGTCCACAAAAGAGAGTTGGAGCTTTAGATGCTCTACAACATGAATACTTCAGTGAATTTCATGATGGCAACAAGGAAAACACACAAGGTAGTTATCAAAATATGGCCAAAAAAAAGGAAAACATGCCTGCTCTCTGACAAGTTTTTCAAGTGAGGCTAAAAAAGGTTCTCACAGGAAGAAATTGCAACCAAGTGACATGTAACCTTGTGTGTTTTAAAATGGTCAAGTTTGCCATACACTGCGTTCCTCAAAAATAAATATGAAAGACAGAAAATCTAAATTAACGGGTTAAAGATTTGTTCTGGTTCAAAAGAATTAGCTATTATTGTTGAAAAGTACATGTAATATATTTACAAGTTCTAAATAAAGTAGCCCTATAAGTGATGTATTAGTATTGAGTGTGTGCCAACTTTGGTTGGTTGTGTGTTTGTTTGATTTTTATTTTTCGGAGTGAGGTGCGTTTACAATTTATAATTATTTTAATTATACTGAGAAAAAAATAATTACAAATAATTTAGTCAGGTTGCACTGTTATTTCAGTAACAAAACTACCCTATGGTTACTAAATCTCACATGGCTTTTAAAATTACTTCTAGAATTTCAAAATTTGAGAAAAAGAGTTGCAAAAATTTGGGTGCAGCTCAAATCAACTGTGTATGCAGTTTGGCACAGCTATTGGAACATTGCATTTAGATGAAAAAAAAAAAGGTTCTGCTATTAATTTTGGTATCTATACATTCTATCCAAATATTATTGTGAAAAAAGTGACTGATTTCACAAGATGTACAGTGAGTCTTCACTGCGATGAAATATGAATTCCTTCCATGCAATTTCCAGCCAAAGCCCAAAATCTTTGTAACTTTTTTTTTAGAAAAAGTGAATGTGAAAACTAGTAACAATAAGGCAGCCATTTTTGAAAAGGCCCTCTTGGTATTTTTTGAACAAGGGTTCAGTGGTTTTAGTACACAACTTACTAGAACTAGAATACTGTTTAAAAAGTCAAGCAAAGCGATGCAACACTGTAATTTAATTTATACTAGGAAAGTACTATATCCTCAATTTTAAAACTTAGATTACTCTTGACGAGTAAAATGTTTCAGATTATGGAGTCACTGTGATTATTTATTAAGGACACCAAAAGAGCTATCAAGAAGTGTCTTTTGTGTTATCAAATGTAGCAACAAGTAGTTAGTCAGTGTGTACTGGTAGTTAGAATTTGTCACGGTGTAGAGTTAGCTGTAGGTGGCAGTTGAAGTCAATAGATTTACGCTTTGCACCCTTACATCAGTTTATATATTCTCCATACTGTTCTCTACATATCTTCTAAGGTACTGACGGGAGAATTTGTTTTGCAATCAAGAGCTTCTTTAGTTCATGATCATGATTATTCTCATGGACCTCATAAATGCGTGATTCAAGGGTTGATATTGTCTTTTTCTACTGTAGGTAATTTCCCAAGTAGGGTAATTGGGAGAAAACTGATTATTAATTGGTCCAGAGAAATATGGTGTGAGTTGTCACTGCACAGTTAACCATAATATTTAAATATTAAATCAATACACCATATCCACTTTCTTTTATGTTACACACTGTCAGTTTTTAAGTTACTCATTATGCAGTATTTGAATTTTCATATTGTCTGTGTGATCACTCATGTAAGAGTTTTCTCTGTTTTCTCAAAAACTTCATCTTTTGTATCAAAAGGTTCTTGTAACCTGTATTTTGGTGTGATGGTAAAAAATATATTACAAAGTTTGTCGAGTAGGCTATTTGAACTATGGCTTGCAGTGTTTGCATACATGGAAGGTCCTCTGATATTTGTCAAAAGCATTTAAGAATCCAGTGAATGCTGGAGTTAGCTTATACTGAGTGATCTCATCACCAATAAAGGTGGAAAGAAAAAAAAAGTTATTAGCCATGGTGCAGTACTTTCTTAGTGGTGGACTTGATTTTTCATACGTGAAACATGTTATGCCTTGTCTTTTAAATGATCACTTGGTAGGAAATGCAAGATTAAGATGCGATTAATGTGAGTAATGGTCTCTTCTCAGTAAGAGGTAACTAGTCTCATTTTTTTTTTTTTTACTTTTTACACCCTAACATCAGTATGCATGTTCTCCATACAGTTCTCTACACATTTCCCATGTTATTAACAAGGAGAATTGTATTTTATAGGAATATTCATTACTTGACAAGGGAATTCTGGACTAAACTGCACATGAAAACTGATGTAGCACAAATTGCGAAGCGCTAAGTGTGATACCAGTTTTCAAGTGCAACGTAACGCAGAATTCATGAGTCAAGTGATGGATTTTCCTTGAATTACATAATTGAATAAAAATAAGAAAAAAGAAAAAGAAAACAGCATTATTTGTAGTTGTTATGTATAATTATGTAGATGTAAAACAATATCACGAAGCCTTGTTTTCCACTTTCAATACCATGCTAAATACCTTGCTTCGTTAACCAATCAGAATGCGAGATTTTATTCAGTGATGCGATTCTATTTTGTACTGTATTTTAATTGATTACTGAGATTCATTCTTAGAGTTTAAAGGGTTCCATTTAACTTGAATTCATTTTGAATTTGTGGTGTGATTGCCCAGGGGAGGGTAGTTTTGAGTAGACCATTAACTGTGACTAATGTTCTGACAACCTGAGTGGAACTGAAAGTTTTGACTTTGATGATGGCTTCCACAACAAATTTCAGTACTTCAGTCAAACCTCCATTATACCCGCTCACTGGGACCTGACGAAAGTCCTGACAATCGAGAATAAGAATATTAATGAAGAACAAAAAGTGATTAAATTGAGACAGCAACCTTTGATCATGAAACATTACAATTCATTTTTAAAAAAATATGGTCTACATCTTTACTCTGTTTTGAATACCTCTACACATGTATACAAACTTGCTTTTCCTTCTCTTTTCAACATTTTAAAAAGAACTGGACTACAGATCTTAATCATGACTAACAAATATTCATGACCAAATTGGGACAAGAGAAAAAGTCTGGATAATCAAGGTCCAGATAATGGCGCTTTGACTGTACTGTTCTCTCTCTTGGATGATTACACATCATGATTAATTCTTTCTACCAAGTGGATCAACAGCAGCAGGGTTTCTGAATGGAAAAAGTGCCACTTGGTAATGATTTTGTTTCTGTGTGAGGAAGTCTCGGATGCATGTGGGGTGTATGTGTTTGATGACTGTTAAAATTATTATCTAAGGATAATGATGTCAAGTAGTGAATGTTCCATCAACTCTCACTACATTTTATACTCAAAGGAATGTTGTGTTCTAAAGAGAAATAATTAAAAAGAAAAGGAAAAAAATGTGCCAGTGACAATATTTTGACTCTGTATGCATGTGCTGAGACTTAACAGTCAAGTATGCGGTTTGATAAATTGTGCTTGAAAATTTGGCTTTTGAGTATAGCCCCTGAAAATATGGCACTTTTCCACAACTTAAGCTCAAAATTTTTATTACGTTCAATTTAAATGGATCAAAATAATAGCTTTTAAGAGGCCTCTCAACTTTCCACGCCCCATTCCTAACACCAACAGGAAAAAGAATAAAAGGCTCATGGAAGTTCAGAACACAATATTTACTACCAGGATCAAATTCCTAAAGTGCAAGTAAGTAAAGTAGGTTCACTGTTGACAGTACTTGGGCTACAGAATTTATCTTTTGTTGAATGTTACTACAGAGGGAATTTTTAAGAAGTTGAGTCATTATGCCAGCATTATGCTTGAGACTCAGGCTATAGCATAATGCCCAAAATTATGCCAACTTACTGACCCTAATCACGTGCCATCACTAGTATCAATTTTCTCTTAGTTCCAATTTCTACTTCCTTTGTGGCTTGAGCAGCTCATTATGGCTGACTTTCTAATGTTTAAAGTGCAGTTTGCTGACTCAACCATGATAATGGTAGTGTGTATCTATGTGTTCTGTAGTAAATAGATGCCTGAGTAAGCTTAAAAGGTAGCAAAGGAAGAGTCCCAATCCTGCTCCTGTTTCATGTACTAATTTTAGTGAAATTTAATATCCATCATTTATTACACAACTCAGGAAGTAAGAGGGCCAATAACTAAAATCAACCAATCAAAAATGCTCTATTGCTGGTCAATATTCTCTCAGTATTGGACCCGGCACTGTCTCGAAT